GTTCTCAAGTTTTTCATTCAGAGTGCTACCATTTGAATGTAAACGTAGGCTTGCCTACGAGATTGTATTCCGTGCATTTCTCCGTTTTCTTGTAGTATGAACTCTTGTTTTCTGTGCTAGCTTTCATTTTCTTTGTGGCTTAACAAATATAAGCGATTAATAATGAATCGAGAATATTACGAATTCCCGGTGCTAGCTGATTCCTTCTTTCTCATTTTCTTTGGAAAAACAAAATTGCCCTCAAAAAAGCTCTTGTTCTACGAAAGTACTTCTCTAAACATAATCTTCAACTTTCAATCGCAGACATTTTTTGTGCGCTCTCACGGAGATAGCGGAAAAATTATCTCCTCGATCATCGGTCATCACTCATATGATCGAAATGTCTTGAGATAAGGGTATGCAAAAAATACGCACACTGTTTGATCGAAAATAAATCTTCTGTTTTGGTGCCTCTCGCTGATTTTTGGGTACCATTCTGTACCTGACTTCAACTGACATTAGATCTACAGTATGGAGCGAGTCAACTTTTTATTACGGGAGCAATACTCTAGGAAGTTCCAGCATATGGAAAGATTCTGAAATAATCCGCCTAACCTTTTTTTAATATGGAGAATCATGCAGCGGGTTTTTACACATGCTGATTTCAGTGCGCAACTTTTTGCCGTTTCTTTTTTCGAGCTTCTCAATGGCGTAATCACATTTCTGACGCACGTGGCTGTTAGGTATACCAACGCTACTAAGACAACTTGGAAAAAAAAACATTATAGTGAAGTGCAAATGTCACATTTGAATTAAAGCGGCAACTTGTGCGTCATTCTGACCGGTTTTACAGCCATTTTCTTCTCCCAATTCGTGAAGGCTTACGGATGAATTTATCGTTGCTAGCTTTGAAAGGGCCAATGACTGTACTTTGATTAGCCAAGTATAAGAGCTTTTGGCCTGTTTAGTTTCCTTCATAAAGCAAAATATGGCTCTTGGCGGCTGGCCTAAAATTCTTCTTGAATCTTACCGTAACCCTAGAATAATGAAGAGCATCGGGAATTTGCTCAGGGCCCGGCACAGATGGTTTGGGGTCAAACTGGACTTCATTTCTGAAGTTAGAAGCAACGGGGTATCGTTTTTATAAGGTCCAGGAGGAGGCGCCAGAAAAAACGATGAACATGTCATGTTTTACGAGTTGAACGTGTTTTTTCGCAAGCGCGCGAATTTCAAACGCAAGACTCAAACAAACAAATGGCTTGTTCACGGCGCACAAACAATCACATGGCACCGAATTTGGGCTATGTGTATACAATATTACTCCAAACTATCTTATGTAAAAAGTTCTAAAAACTTATGTGTTCTAATATCCGTTCCCGAATTTTTTGGTTTCTAGACCAACACCAAACCAACTGGGTTGGTTCGGAGCATAAATATCGGAGAGTTTACATAAGTTTTGGATCTTTTTAATTTGGACGATTAGAACGGTCAAAACTCTATCATATAGTGAAGAGAGCTGATCAAACTATTGCCCCTCCTCTTTTTTGAGCCAAAAGTAGTGTAGTTTCAAGCGTTGATAGATATCGCGCTCCAATCAAATGCGGTGTCCTTTGAACTATGTGGCGAAAAATACATGGGTAGGGGAACGAAAGCCGCCAGCTTCGGTCGCCTGCGCGGACTGCTGTTCCTGGAACGACATGCAACAACGTTGCGAAAGGACCAGCTAGCCGCGAAAGGCGGCCCAAACTGGCGGCTTTCGTTCCCGGGATTGTTGAGGCCACAGATTTGGTCGACCCAGGAGGTTTTCGACATTGTGAGCACTAAAATGGGCATTTAAACGATTTAAAATGTTTTCTTTTTTCCTTTTTTGTTCTATTAGATAACTCAGAATGCCCTTTTTCCGCTTTTTTATTGCTATGTCCATTGAACAAGGGTTTCCCTGCTGATTTTTACGTCAAGAGGACCTAGTAATTTTTTGCAAAGTCATGGGGGACTTCGTTTCCAAAAATGCTTCAAACCAACGCATGCCGGGCCCTGGATTTGCTCTATACTGTAGACCTAACACGTAGCCAGCTGTGCAGAATGTTACCCAAGGATCAGCGAAAAACACCAAAATGAGAGAGTTATTGGCGCAATGTGCACATTTTTTGGGACGCCGTACATAAAGCCATGATTATGCACTCTCACATTCTCACGGTCACATTCTCGCCATATGTTTCCAAGCCTTTTTACTTCTGGCATTTGAACGAACGCTTTGTATTTTGATAGATTATGAATCTTTTGTTTAGTGGAAGAGAGGTTTGACGCCATAATCAACGAAGCTTGCATCAGAATTTTACGCTAGTATGCTATGTAAATATTTTCTCTATACATGAAGTAACATTGATACGTTGAGTGGTTTTGAAGATGGCTGTAGGAGCAGTTTCCCGACAGAATTTCGCTCTCCAGCTTTTCACCTTTTCAGGGCTTTTTTGCCATGTTGAACCCACTATCTGGGCTTTCAGCGCGTAAAATGGCGAAAATAAGCTTTTTTGAAGCGCTCTCCTTGTCCGCATTCGCTGCGGAATGCGTGTAGGGCGGGGTCCGAAATGAAGGGCGGGGTTGGGAACGTTCCAGAGTAGATTTTAGGCTTTTCAGACGCTCTTTTTTCTTCCAGAATTCAGATAAATTAGTTGGGGGTCTCCCATTGCAACGCTGTCAAATTCCGACACTTATCATTTTGCATAGACGCTGCCTTTAACCTTGTTGAGTACTGGTTTGGTTTAATCCCACAACACAAAAAATAAGCTCAAAGTCACTTGAATACCCGCTGTGTGCATCTTGTTGACACAGGCTTGTTTACTATCATTTATCGTCACTAATTAGCAGCTGCTTTGCAAAACTTCAGCCTGTATAATAGAATTTCCTACTTGTTGCTTCCTAACCATTATATTTTGAGCCACTTATCATTATAGCCACTTATCAGCCACTTATCATCATGAGACTAGAAAGCCGTACGCTTTGCACGGCGTACGCTTGCACGTATTGTATGAACGAGTAAAGTCGTGTGGCTGTCAAGTTTCACTAGTAATCTATTCCATCTAGGACTATTTGCTGTTTGGAATCAATAAAGAACAATTGCATGCTTGTTTTTATACCTACGAAGCGGTTTTGATTTTTTAGTCAATTATTTTAAGCACGTATCGTCGAGTCATTCGTAACTTAATATGTGAGCCTGCACATAAAGCTTTCAACGGACGGCACTCTTAATATTAACTTCTCGATCAAATCTTTTTTAGCGCAACAAATTGTAAAAGTGAATACTACTGACTAATTAATATCCTTTCAAACCAAATGGGGCAAAGAAACAAGCGAAGTCGCTGAAATGAGCAGATTTCAATCTTCTAGGTTCGTCAAATAGCGCGTATGGTGTGCAATACGCATATTAAGTTACAAATGACTCGAGCATACTATAAATCGTGGTCCTTCTCCTTGACAAGTTCACCGAATAAATCTGTGTTAGCCACATCATCTCGGTATCACATTTTCTTACTCTACCACTGACAATCGGACGATTTTTCCCTTTGGCAACATTGCTGCGATTTATGTACCTATTATTCATTCTCTGACTAAGGGACGCGAGCAGCTTTGCGTACGTTTGTTCAACATGTTTATGAATGAGTTTTAACGCGTTTTGATTAGTTACTATCAGGCAACTCATCGTGGTTTAGTTCTACCGCAAATTCTAATAGTAATCAATCAAAACGCGTTAGAACTCATTCATGAACTTGTTAATGAAACGTGCGCAAAGAGTGCTCGAGTCTCCTAGTTAGAGAATGAATGATACTCATTATGATATCCTCTAGTTTTCCATCTCATGCGTCACACAACTCCCGTATATCACTTTTTGCTTACAAACTCACGAGGAGTGATTTTTTTGCTATTTTTTGATTACTTGCTTTCTTTCCGACTGACAGGTGCCTGTCTCATAGCATGTGCTCAAGAAAATCTTTGTTCCTTGTCCATTGTTTGTGCTTTTTGACTTCGAAGGGTTCTAAGTCAGCATGCTGATGATTTTGTTTGCCTCGATAATATTGTCAGTCTCAACTGATCGACCTTATCTATACTTCAAAAGAGACATACTGGCAGTTACTTGTTTTGAAACTTGAAACTTCTTGTAGCAAAAGCAAATCTCGATTCCTAGTTTCAAGACATTAGGATTTGATAACTAGATTTAGGTGGACAGCACTCCAGCCTCCATCGAAAAGCTTAACATAATACATCAATTCTTCATTGTTTCAGCTTGCTTCTCTTTGCACTTATAGTACTGATTCAATATAATCCTGCGTTTAAATTTGCTCTCACTACGCACTCTGCTTTCTGTATCTGTTGCCTGTGCTCGCTTTTTATTTCCATCCTCTTGTTTCACTGAAAATATTCTTAGTTTCTTCAAAGTATTGCTTCTGTGAAGCTAGTTCTTCAACTGGTACTTTTACTGTGCCGATGTCAGTGTTACTGCAGCTAGGGTGCAACTTCTTAGAGCCAGGACTTTCTTCTGAAACTCATTTCAGTGATTACCCCTGGTTACTTTGACAAAAGTTTTGCAGTCAATGTTTCCTCAAACTATCTATAGGGAATACAAAAATTGGAATGTCCTTGGACAATAAGCTGTGTTTGTGTCAGTTACCTTAGGTAGACAGGAAATATTTTGAGCTCTGACCCACCCTTTAACACATTCACGGCAGTACGACCCACCGGTGGGTCGCAGGTGTCCTGCCATTTTGGATCTGCAAACCCACCGGCGGGTGGTATGCTTTCTGAAGTTTTTTGATATTGCGTTCACGATGAAACTTTTTGGGCAAATTAAATAAACTTCTGTATGAATATCTTGGAACACTTCCCAAGATTAAGATTAACACTTTAGCCCATGGGACCCATTAGTGGCCAGAAAATATCACGCAAACTCAATATTGTGAAACATGCTTTGATTCGAAATGGCGGTCATCGAAAAATCGGCCTCGTCGTGAATGTGTCAAATCTCGAATCTACTTTATTTCAGCCGCATGCAAGATAGCTCAGTGCTAGATGGAATCGGTTGGAAGTTCAGTGGAAATGTCGTCACTTCCGAAGCAAAGAAACGAAAACCATTCTTTCCACGACTTCATAATATGGTGGACATGATTCCTATGGTTCTAAGGTAGGAACATTCTTAACTTTTGGAGGCAGTGTTTAGGCGACTGGATCTGAGCCCTTGTCCAAGGAGTTATGATGGAGTAGTTACATCTATATTTATATTATAGTTATATTTATAGTTATATTTTCCAAGTAGCTTCTATGATGCATTTACGGCCCAGAAATCCAACTTTGATTCCGCGCCCAGTACCGTATACAGCACGCTGGTCGACCTGGTTAAGAATGGCACGGTACTGGGCGAGGGTTTGAGGTGATCTCAGCCACCAGTAGGTCTTGTGAGCTGTCGCCTGTGTAGTAGCTTAATCGGAGCTCTCTATTCAGTCTTTATATGAAAAATCCAAAGATTGCCCGGACGCTGCCACTGAGTGTTTTTGCCGGCCTTTGGAAATTATCTCACCTCATTGCAGAGCCACAGCATATACAGCAAATCAATGGATGCAACAAAAAGAAGTTTTTATCAATGTATTCTCACAGATGCGACATGATCCTTATACTGGTTGGTCAATTCATCAAATCTTTACGCAGAATACCTCTATACCTCTTCTTTTCAGGTGTTCCCATAGGAGGTATTGGATGTGGCTCAATTGGCACAGATTTTCGTGGTGGATTCAATAAATTTGCTTTAAGGCCTGGCGTTAAAGAGCAACGGGTTCGTAACATTAAGGCTAATCAGGTAAGAAATTTGAATCACATCTCATTTTTATACACTTTGCTTTTCTGTGAATTGAAAGGTATGATAAGTGGCAGATTTTGGATGTAGGGAGGGAGAGACAAAGAAAATTCGTGCCAAAATCTTCATAATACGATCATTGATTTTTGAACTTAGAAGGTGTTGGACGAGGAAACAAACAGCGAAAAATTGCGCTTAATACGTTGTTTTACACAAATTCATACGCATTCCACCAACCTTAGACGTAGGTGGAGAATCAAATATAGTGGAAAAGATATAGGGCATTCGAAAAATCGTGACGATGGCGCGACCGCGCGCGACACGCTTCGGAAACAGCCTTTTCTTGGTTTTGATCTAAACTCGACTGGTTTTTATTCTTAGGTATGATAGTACTTGGACACTGGAAGTGACTGAGCTGAATGTTGAGGTGATGCCTTTTTGTATGAGGGTGTGCTCCTGTGGGCGCAAAGTCCGCAGTCAAATCCGTCGTCACATTTTACAAATGAACCATAAACTGCTATTCATCTGACAGTGAGACTTATTTTTGAACGGTTTTGGAAAAAGAAATAAGTCTTTCAGTAATTTTAATACAAACTATGGCCTTTCTAATTCAAATATTCTCCCTCTTTCGTCTTGGTTGAAAATCTTTTGTGCGAGTGTTCTTTCGCAAAATGTCCTTGTGTTTACCCAAATTATAGATTCGGAGTTTTCAAATCTCTGAACTTTGAACTCTGGTTTGTTATTTGTGTTTTTGTCCAAAAAAGTCTCAAAGCGCATTAAGATCCATTATAATTCTTTTCAGTTCATTCTTACTGTACATGACGCTACTAACACAAAATTATTATACCATTCCTTACTAACCACTGCCGACTTCAAGAACTCGACATTATCTGATTGGAAGTCAACAATCAAAGGCAGTAACACTAGGTACTCTTCGATTACAGCATAGCAACCTACATAATTATTTCATTCTTTTGAGGTATCGCGGTTTATTCCCTCGAGCATGGCGGGAAATCCGAATACCCGAAATAGGAATGACATTGATTTGCGAGCAAGTCTCACCAGTAATTCCACACAATTATGAGGTTTGCGAGAGTAACTGAGGTTTTCAAGAATAATTGATCCAGTAGCAAGATTTTTAGGAGACATCATTTCCTGTTTGTAATTTCCATTGGACGTTGATAAACAACAGTAGCAACAAGTATAATGTGTCAATGACATTTACATTCCGTAATGGAACAGGTAGCCCAAGATGGGAAAGGGAAGGGAAATGCATGTGAGTGGTGTGTTGAGGTTTCGCTTTTTCTGAAAATTTTTAGGAAAGAAGTGCTAGGGGATTATCTCAGTTGACGGTCTGATAATCTTGAATATCGCAATTTTTTTTTTCAGAGCTGAAATTTTGCAATCACCATCTGCGAAAGGTCTTAAATTGATGCATTCGATGAAATCGATGCCGTTAACTTTTGCCATTGCGACGGAAGAGGTATACTTTTTACACTTTATTGTCAGAACTATGCGCAAACACAGCTGGTCCTTGCCCTCTTGTTTTGTCATCTGTCAGCTCGTAAAAAGTACGAAATTAGACGACAAAATCGCTTCCGCCATGTCAAGGCGAAGCTAAGCAGTGTTCGTTATTTGAACAGTTGTTAGTGTTTATTCTTGCGCTACTTCGCACTTAAACAGCAGTCCTTGATTAGTGAAAGTCGTAACGGACGAAGAATGTATGTGAAGTTCTATTTGCTGAGAAAGCAGCATTGTTATGAGAGAATTGTAAGATAAAGGAGGGAAAACGGATAGGAAAGAGACTAACACCTGGGCTTCTACGCCAATATGTCATTGATAATTACATTCACGGGTAGATACGCCTTGCATAAAAAAAAGAAATCTCAAAAAAAAAATCTGACTTGCGTAACTCGAGGAACTTATTTGAAAATAGGAAGTTTATTAATGTTATGTGTAAAACATGATACGTTTTTGGTTTTTGGAAGTATCGGAGGTCTTTCTGTAAAAATTAGCAAGATGAAAACAAATCGTTGTCGTTTAGTAAAAACTGAACAAATTGAAAATAAAAATGTGGATGCGTATCTCATGACATCTAAGTAGGCATTTCAGATTCCTGATGCTAAGATCACCTATGCAACTTTTAATCCTACTTCAACAAGTGGAGAAGAAATATGGGACAGTCTCAAAGCGACGGGATCTCTGTCTACAGGTTGGTCAAAAAAATTTTTTACGCAAAATTTACCAATATATCTAATAGGTGTTTCTCCCTCACCAAGCGAGGAGTTAGGTATAGCAGTGTCGTCTCGCTTCCTACTTGAGGCTTCATCATCTCAAAACTGTAGATTTTGCTTGGCATGGATTATGCCAGTTGTGCAATTTGGAGCCAGAACGAGGTCTTATAAAAGGTTTGTTCAACCAGCAAGGCTTAGCGCTATACTATGCCTATATGCCTTATTTTTAGGTACTACACTCGCTATATTGGCGATGACGATGAAGCTATAGAGAAATTAGTCACTCGTGCCATAGCGGAGGGTGAAAAATGGCGCACGGATGTTGATAAATGGCAAAGTGCGATTACTAATGATGAGACACTGCCTGAATGGTGAATTCTTTTTTTTACTATTCTTTTAGAATTTGTTAATCACCTTATGTTTAGGTACAGATCAGCCCTATTGAATGAGCTTTACTATGTAGTTGATGGCGGAAGTATGTGGTTCGAATATGATTCGACATGGAAAGATCCCGATCACATCAGTGATTTGACGGAAAAACAAATGCGAAGATTTGGGCGATTTGGTTATATGGAATGTGGGTCTCTTGAATTTTTGGATTCGATTTTAACGTAGTATTTCGAAAAAAAAACCTTTAGCATGGGAGTATCTTATGGTGAATACGTACGACGTCCACTTCTATTCTAGTTGGGCTTTTGTCAAGAACTGGCCAGATCTAGAATTATCCATTCAACTAGACTTCTGTAAGTTGCTTGTGCCCCTAGGCTTAGTTTCAGAACACTTTGGATTTCTTCACGTAAAGGTTGGACAGACCAGCCGCAACATTATTGTGTTATGCCAAACCAGCTTCTAACAATTTTACAATACTTTGCGCATTGTTGTATATAATAAAATGTTGACACTCTCAAATGAGCTAGACATCTCCTTTTTTCAGGTGATCAAATAGATCGCACCAATGCAGGATTAGTCACGAGTCTCAAAGAGGGCAGAAAAATGGAAACCAAGATAGCTACCCGGATTCCGCATGACATGGGAAATCCGCGTAAGTGTCTGCACAAAGACGATTGATACTGATCAAAATTAGGGTCGAAGTTTTTCAATAGAAGCGCTGAATGCAATTAGATTTTTGCGTTGAACGGATTCTTTTTCTTTGCTCCGGTATGTTAGCCTAACCAAGCGGGTGTACACTGGGACACTATTGCATCGCTTTGGGTGGGGGAAACTCTGCCAATTTCGCTCGCGGACAACTGGTCTTTGCGATTCTATTTCATGTCATTTGATGGTTAGTAGTCAGTACGGCTCAAAATGGCGGAGCTCGTTCCCATACCCTGCTGTGGAGGATTACGTACATTGAGCCGGTTAAAGAATTCACACGACGTGCTATCATAGCACTAGTAGAGTAGCTTTCTTCTTCATGGAGAAACGTGAAGAGATTTTAGAAATGTAGAAAGAGCAAAAATGAATTTGCAGGGAATGGTTCGAAATTAGCCTCATTTGACAATTATCATCGTATACAGAGACAGTTCTTATTGCAAATAACATATTCACCTACAATCTGCAGATTTTAGATGAAGAACCTTGGGCCATGATTAATGCCTACATCCTCCATGACACAGCAGACTGGCGAGATCTGAATCTCAAGTTTGTTATTTTATGTTGGAGAGATTACAAAGTGATGATAAAGAAAAGTCTGAGAGAAGAAGCTGTAAGCTATTTGATAGTTGCTGTGATTTTGATGGTCAATATGTCAATAATTAGGCGCTAAAAATTCTTCGCTACTTTTACAAAGAAAGCGAGGCTATCGTTCGGAATGCGATGATTCAATGGGACCCCGATGGTAATGGGATGATTGAAAACTCGGGTACTGCTGACCAAACTTATGATGTGTGGACAATGAGTGGAACGAGGTGAGGATTTGACTCAGTTGAATTTTACCGTAAAATAAATATCTGAAATCATTTTAGTGCATATTGTGGCTCACTCTGGTTAGGTGCACTGAGCGCCTTAATAAACATGGCTGAAGAACTTGAACAAGCTGGCTCCGCAAAATATTTCGAAGATGTTCTTGATAGGGCAAGAGTACTGTTTCTGAAGAAGTTATGGAATGGAAAGTGGGTTATTAGGCACAAAACTTTTCTACGGTGGAAGAAGAGGAATAAATTTAGATATTTCAACTTCGATGAGTACTCATCTCATGGTAACGTAATCATGGCTGATCAATTATGTGGGTTATGGTATCTCGGGCTTTTAAAGGAGGATAAAGTGATCTCTGAGGAGCAGGTAACTTGACTATAATTGACAGTTTTTCTATCAATAACTAAAAAGAAGGTAAGAGTTAGATGCTAAAGATTTGCTTAGGATTAGTGTAGACACAATTCTGTTGGTATATCTCCTTCTTGAACACAATTTAGACCAGGCACGCGTGATTACCTTGAATGATCATGTTCCGTATATAGATTAACTCATGTCAGTCTTTCGAAAATTGCCTCTGGCTTTTTACACTCAAATCTAAGATGAAGAATAGCTGTTATGGGCTGTCACAGAAAGAAAATCTCGTATTTGAGGGTTTAGGTCCACTTTTAGTAATTACAGCCAAGCGCACGGGCGGTTCCGGGAAAAGGAGGGGGGGAGGGGAAGAGAAGAGAATGCTTGCGAATTCTTTGAAGCTAAATGAGTAATATAATGGAATTGAGTTGTACCTGATTTTGAATAATTTAACATTATTCCTGAAAAATTCCAAAATCAAAATAATGTTCATAAAAAAATGTGGCCTGTCGTCACGCCCCTTTTTTGAAAATTCTCGGGGTTATACTCTACTGAAAAATCCGGGGAGAGTTTAAAATTTTTTTATGGATGGTGCCACACGCGTTCATTCAATTAAAATTTTTTAGCGCTCGTTGTCTCTCTTCCCCCTCCCCCCCCCCCCCCCTCCTCTCATAAATAACTCAGGCGGCAAGGAATATAGTGCAGTTGGTCAATAAACCACGTAATCCGACATCTTATCTGCAGAATTCTTTTTCAGAAAAATTTTACGAATAAAAAATTACGCAGACAAAGAAAATTCTGAATGAAAAACATTTCAGATCACATCTGCATTGAGAACTATATACGCTAACAATGTGAAAAAGTTTGCTGATGGCAATATGGGTCCAGTGAATGGAATGTAGTACGTTCTGATAAATTTGGGATTATGTATCGATATTAAATAATTATTTACAGTGATGATGGCTCGGTGGACTTGTCAAGCATACAAAGTGAAGAGGTTTGGACTGGAACTGCATATAGTTTAGCATCTTTTATGATTATAAAGGTAATTTTCTTGTAGTGCTATGACCGATAAGGTTACACCGATAATTTGTTTCAGGGATTGAGAGCCGAAGGCTTTGAAACTGCTAGAGGAATGTTCGAAACTTGCTGGAATCGTTTAGGACTTCAGTATCAAACCCCTGAGGCTATCTACCAAGAAAAATATTACCGAGCAATTGGATACATGCGTCCGCTTTCCGTCTGGGCTATGCAACATGCCATCGAAGTACGCTCTTCTGAGAAGAGGACCTAATAAACTTCTTACACCAGAGCATATGTCGTTTATCACGAGCTTTTTTTTGCTTTTGAGCAGTGTAGCTTCATGACTCAGAAAAAGGCAGACTTATAATTATTAATTACAATAAGAAACTAACTGTTGCAAAGTCACTTCTGCAACTTCTAACTTTTTGAACGGGTCACCTTCCTACATATACTGATCGTTACCGTGTACAATAAGTGCTTGTCTAGCGATATTATTGAGCTTGAAATTGATGATAAAGATAAATTTTTTGCGAATGTTAAGATAATGCGATCTCTATGCATGCAATCTGTCAAAGATGTGCTACTGAAGTATCGTTACGAGACTATCATATACACATGACCTTTGCTTTTTCTTCTTCAGCATTTTTCTGTAGAACATTGCACCTTTGTTTGGCATAATAAGCTCGCAAACTTCTTAAGAGGGAATAAAATGTACTGTACCGTGGCGCATCTATACTTACTTGAATATTCAGATGGTGTGCCCTCACGTAGCGTGCAGGCTGTAGCACGAAGTTCAGATTTTCCGTCCGTCCGCGAGTTCAGAATTCGAGTTCAGCTGATTTCTCAGCTGGTCCACCAGTTCCGTGAAGACGTCTGCCTATCTCGTTGGTGGTCTTTCTCTGCGACGTTTTGATTCGCGAGGAGTTCACTCTGTGTTCTCAATGCCCATTTGTCGTCTGTTCTTCTCGTGATGTGGCTGGTCTATGGATGCATCCGCTTTCGCGAAGCAATCCGCTAGATCACGAAAATGGCACGTTCTTTTTATATCCTTACAAAGTCCAGCGAGAGGTTGCTTGTGTCGGCTGATCTTCAGAAGACCGCGCAAGCGCTTTGTGGGGGGTCCATTGAGCTTTCGGTGTGGCGGTTGCATCGTCCCAGGTCAGGAGACAGAATTACTGGAAACGCCATAACTGCAATCAATGCAGGAACAAAGAGATTGGAAGGTGAAGTGATTTGCAAATCCAAATATGGGTGCAGGGCAGGGTCAAGCAAAGGGTGTGGCACACGATCGCTAGTTACGACCCCCCCCCCCCCTGATTGCTGTCTTAATAAGACCCCCCTGAACTATACACTTAAGACAGCATTACTTGAAGGCCCTGTCAAACATAATGGGCAAAATATCCATGATGAGCGTGTCAATTAACCCCTGTATACAAAGTGTGAGCGAATTCTGAAGATTCAAGATACTAGGTTACCTATGTGAAATGGTCAAATTCCAACATGGTTAACTTTGTTTCAGAGGTGTAGCTATCCTTTTTTGCACTCAAGACAAAGCACTACGCCTTCTTTGTCCACCTCAGGAATCCCTCTTCAGAAGACCTCCAAACTGTGGAATTAGAAGTCAACCGAAATCTCGTTTTTCCCATTTTTCGCTTTTAATGGCTGTGCTTTCACCAAATATTAGTCAGAGCTAAGAAGACGAATCAGGCTCAAAGTCCTATGGAATCTACAAGGTTTAGGCTATCGATTCATATAAAAACTGTCCGCTAAAATTGTTTTTTTTTTTGATATAGTTAATGGGGTGCGGCACACCTCCTTAAAGGCAGTAGGTCGGCAGAATGAGACCCGTGGCAAAACAAGGTCACAGGATAGGAGCCCCCATAATGGAACCTATGGGCCAAAGTTCGATCTTTCTCTGCCAATTCTAACCCCCGAAATTTCAAAGCGAAAGCAGCGCTCATCTCCTGCCCTCTCCGAACCCGCCCATCCCATGGACGAGTGAACGCGAAGCCCGTCATGGCGAAGACGCAGAGTCGCTGCGGGACCTCATGCTTATAGCATTGCGGCTGGCGCTCTGACCGCGGAAGTCACTCGTCCATGGGGTGGGCGGGTTCGGAGAGGACAGGAGATGAGCGCTGCTCTCGCTTTGAAATTTCGGGGGTTAGAAGTGGCAGAGAAGATCGAACTTTGGCCCATAGGTTCCATTATGGGACTCCTACCTTGTGACCTTGTTTTGCCACGGGTCTCATTCTGCCGATCCACTGCCTTCAAAAGCTGCGGCCGCCGCTGTTAAGAGAAGTCAAAATCAGGGTGGCGGTTGAGACCGCCCGTGCGAAAAGACCGTCTCCCCGCTGTGACAATGCAAGACGCTGCAAAAGTGACATGAAGAGCTTAGCGATCTGTTTGCCCAATCTGTCGCTAGTTCCAGGAAATCGCAATCAAATTCGTGAAATTTCGCCATTCAAATAAAGTGAGTACTCTATCTAATATAATACAATGACTAAGAACGTCAAAACTCACTGACACGAACAACAGCGAAAACGGCTCATTATGTGCAAGTAGGCAAAAAGTGGAGGTCTTTTCGCACGGGAGGTTCCAGCGCTGCCTTGATTTTGACTTGTCTTAACGTGTCACGAACGCCGCAAATGTTGCCTCCCCTTGCTTAGGCGAGAGCCGCCGCAAGGTGCTTTGCGCGCGGCGGCGGTTCTGTGTAGAAAGCATTACGGTCGTGCGTGGCCCTACATCCGGCAAAAAGCCCAAGCCGAAAAGCCAAATCCATAAAATATCAAAATTGCAATTGCCTAGACCACATCTGCGGGATGTAAGGCTCCCGCCAGAGTGCCGGGGACGTCAGCTAGCCCCGCCCCAACGAAATACACGTGTATCGATCGAAATGCTGGCGTAGCGCTGGCATAACTTCGGCACTCTGGCGGGAGCCTAAGGCTTCATGAGGCAGATGCGCAAACGCAGGAAAATACAAGATAAGAATGGATCACTTGGAATATGAGTCTTATTAAAGTACAACGATGTCTCCAAAATGGTGGCGTCTCTATCATCATAATTTTTACATGTCTATCACGTTTACTCAGAATCAATAGACTTCCTACCAAGCCGACATGCAGTGAATTATCTATCATGCCATAAGGTTCATTTTTATATTCTTCTTTACCGAGGAAGGTGCCAGTACGATCAACCGGTGATTCTTTTCGGTTCTACATTGAATGGCGCAGCTTAGATAGTCTCTTGCATATCGACCTTCCTGCTGGTTGCAAACTCAAGCGAATGGCTACTTCTATGCAAATCAAGTATACATTTCCGTTTAGCAGGTCCTCTGGGATAAGAATGCCTTTCTGACTTTTCGTTCGCTGATTTTTGCGTTTAGCACCTCATTTCCATAAGTTCCTGTCATAGGTTAGTTGTCCAATCCATTTTTTTCTGACGCATGCTTTATTCTCAAATTGGCCTTTCCATATGACACTTATATCACTAGAAGCACCTATAAACGCTAAATTGAAATCTGCTTTTCATTTCTGCGAAACAGTTCTTCAAGAGAAGCTATGAGCTTCTGAAAGTCCACATTTGTTATACCAGTGGAAATATCCGCATAGGTTGTTTTTGTAAAGATTCCCGCTAAAATAACGCTCGACAGATTTGGACGTTCGCTCATAACTTCTCGAAGATTTGTTACGCGGAAAAGGAAAGCAGAACTGAAATCAGCATCTAAAGGCGCGTCTAGTAATATAGTTGTTATGTGGAAAGACCACCTCGACCAAAAATGCTTTCGTTCGAAATGAAAAGATTAGACAGCAAACCCATGACAGGAACTTGTAGAAACGAAGTGCTGAATGCAACTGCAAGTGAGCATTAGGCCTTGGCCATACTTTGCCCATACTTTGTACTCGTGTCGCTCGTGTTACCGGTGTTACCACTGTTACTCGTGTTACTGTTCTTACGTTACCACTGTTACTCGTGTTTCACTCTGTTACCAGTGTTAGTAGCGTTACCCTTGTTGCTTCAATTGCGTTTTGAAATGAGACTGCATTTGTAATCATTTCACTACTCAACAGCAATATAAGCGATAACGCTACTAACACGAGTAACATGAATAACACTGGTAACACGAGTAACACTGGTAACACGGGTAATAGGGATCGGCCTTACTATTCCTGCTATTCCTACGATTCCTGCGATTCCTGTGATTCCTGTGATTCCCGCACAGTTTATACGCCGCTTAAATGAGCGCGTGTTACATGTTACGTGTTGTTTTACGCAACACGCGCTCATTTAAGCGGCGTCTAAACTGTGCGGGAATCACAGGAATCACAGGGATCGCAGGAATCGTAGGGATAGCAGGAATAGTATGGCCGATCCCATACGGGTAATACGGGGTAACATAAGTGATAACTGTAACATGGGTAACACGGGTAAAGTATTACCAAAGCTTAAGTACAGAAGCACGTATATGGTGGAAACCTTACATAGAAGTGCCTATAACCACCTGGCTCTTTCCACATAAGCATATTGAAGTTAAGCCTGTGCTTGCATTCTTATGTTCTCCATTGCAACGGGGGTCATTTGCGGCGTTGTTAAACGAGCGACAAGATTTGAGTGCTCTGAGACGCACCAGAGGCAGCACAAAGGTGCGAGAGGCATGCAAAGCGTTGGTGACTACGGGAAGAAGGTTGAGAAACGGTTTTTCTTGAGGATTTGACCACTGATTACCGCTATCACTGTTACTGCGTTACTGCTGTTATTGCTGTGCCTCATTTCTCTATACTGATTCTCTATAAGCTTTAGGTTTTTCATTGCGTCATCTACATTTAAATTCGTTTTTCTTGTTTTTAAAGGGCGCTTCACATTTTTGACTAATTGGACATGAAGCTTGTCAAACAGTTTAATTGGTAATTGCTCAGACGCAGATTCAATATAGCAGCTATATCATTTGCATGGAATTTTGGAGTACTTTCTTAACATTCAGCGAGAGATCTTACCAAATAAAAGGGAAATGGCGTTTCTTGTTAATACCCAGTATGAGCTTGGCAAATGTGGTCTTTTGGCTTATGAAACTTTCCCCTGACTCTGTGACACTTAAAAATACGACATAGACATGTAGCAAGACATTAACACAGCGTACTTCATGATGGTAAATGCCCACATTTTAGCCTATGCAGATACTGCGATAAGCATCCCAAGGTTTGTGGGTGAGACTCGAATCGATATGTAGGAACAAAGTTTGACAAACTGCACTGTCTGCAATATGCCAAGGATGTACATAGCGCGCTGAAAATCGTAAGTCAGGAGAAAGCTGGGATCATAAAGTTGGGCCAAACATAATGATGGACAGATTTTCTCAATCAGAAAATCTGGTATCACTACGTTGTGGAACTGTGCTAATAGTAGCGGAGCATCCGTGATCAACACTGACCAATGCGGAACCCCCGCGGACGATAGCGGTGATATCGAAACCAACGCCACAACTCAGCAATCAGAATCTTTATGCAACGATGGGCGTCGATATCCTAAATGCTTTCTTTGGCAAACAACAGTATCATAAAGACTGAAGGATCGTCGCCTACATGAGAGTAGGCGCCGCCAATTGACAGTCAAGCACAGTAAAGAGATGACTTGGCAACTGAAGTGACCAGCGAACAGTAGAGTTGTCAACGACAACTTATGATAATGAATACAATTAGATGATGATCTGCAATGTGAAAGTCGGAGATTAAATACATATATTACGACATCCAAGCTTTAAATTGAAGGACTGTCTTGAAAAATTAGTATAAGGTATCGGTCATATCTTGCGTGAATTGGTAGCTGCGCAATCGGGCATGTCGGCACTTTTCAAAATTCAATGTAGGCACAGTCTATCTAAGCAAGGCTTGGCATATTTGCATCATTTCAAGTAAAGTCGGTGGCAGGCGATTTCGCGGAATTGCTCGAAGATGACCAGTACCAAAAACTAATTACTCATAGCTGTCCTGTAAGACTAGACAGAAATATAAACGGAAGTTCCTGATCGAGTATATCACAGGTGAAAAGCAAAAGGTCTGGCTGGAGAACAAGGATAAACAGTTCTTTATACATTTATATCAATTTCAAGTGGCAATAAAATCTCGAAAGCGTTTTATACTGCTTTAAGCTGTATGCTGGATACGTCAGTCCTAGATGGAATTGGATGGAAGGTTCATGGAGACTCCCTGCCATCGGAGGCGCATGAAAGAACAGGATTCGTCCCAAGATTTTGGACCGTGATGGAGCTGGTGCCCTTGCTTTTCAGGTACGCTTAAGAAATTTTGTTATTCGTCGGATAATCTTTGTTGGGATGAACTCAACTAAATGTCTACAGGGCTACCATCTATACAGTGAAGCAGTGGATGCAGAACAAGGAAACATTTATGAACATGTTCTCACAGCTGCAGCATGACCCATACACAGGTAATTGAAAAAAACACCGTTCTTGAGAGAATAAATAAAGTCAAGGTGTGCCTATTGGGGGTATTGGATGTGGCTCAATTGGAACTGATTTTCGCGGAGGTTTCAACAAATACTCTTTGATTCCTGGAGTAAAAGAACAACGCCAGGGAAACATAAAGGCGAATCAGGTGCATGTCTGTTGATTTGTGGTACGTATTCAGCCAAACACGTGGTGTGTAAAGTTGATATCTAAAGAAAGAGATACTGAGATTAGAAAGGATTTGCTTTGAATATCATTGTCCTCTAACGTCTTACATCTTCCCTTACAGTTCATACTGTCCGTACATAACGCATCTGACTCGGAACTAGTATTTCAATCATTACTCACCACTGCAGATTTCACAGATACTAGACTAAGCGACTGGGAATCCTGTATACACGGCTATAACACCAGGTAGAACCAGATTCCACCATCTCCGCTCTTACGTGGTACTGCCAGGTATCGAGGACTTTTTCCCCGCGCATGGAGGGAGATCCAGATTCCAGAAATTGGGCTGACACTAATCTGCGAGCAATTTTCACCAGTAATACCTCACAACTACGAAGTAACATATTTGATAAATCTTGTTTTCCTTTCATTGAACAATTATAAGCAGGAGACATCATTTCCCGTCTGTAATTTCTACTGGACTATAATCAACAACAGCGAAATTGCTTACAAAATATCTCTAACATTCACTTTCCGTAATGGGACCGGTAATGCAAAATGGGAAAAAGACGGTGACTGCCGGTGAGTGTAACTATACTTCATCAGTATCTATGTAAATTCTGCAATCAAAAAACCACTTCGATAGAATATTATCTCAATGGCTATAAGGTTTTGATTTATCATAAGGTCCTGATAACGTTGGGTGATGTGAAAGTTCTTTTGTAGCTGAGTAGTTTATTGGAATACTAGTTGAAAACCGTATAAAGTAATAATATAAGTTAAGATAACCTTTAAGATAACCTTTGCATAATATTGTAGCATTCCTAATAGTTTGTATAGAATCTATATTGCAGACCAAAAATTTTGGAATCGGGATCCATAAGGGGTATGAAACTCATCCATAAAATCAAATCGATGCGAGCAACATTTGCCATAGCTACAGAACAGGTGAGCTGAAGAGCGGGAGCGTAAAAGGATGCATGATGTGCTCACTAAGCTACAAAAAGACCTCCTACTGACAAAGAAGGCACCTAAAACAGACTGGTCTTTCAAAGGACAAAAGCACATATACAGGGTGCGGAAAAAGTACTGTCCCTGTAAATTAAGTTCAAAAAATTGGCGTAATTCACAGGTTTCTCTGGTAAATTTGACATAATTCCCAAGATGGGAATATATTCTATCATTTCACAAAAGCTGGCTTCAAGATTCTACAATTTTTTCCGGCGGCGGATCCCTTTTCGCAGCGCATCTCATCAAATCTTGCAACTCCCCTTTACAAATCTGAAGAAGTGTGAGGATTTTTGAGAAATTTTTTTTGTTTGTCACGCGAACTTGAGAAATTCTCTACTGCTTAAGGAGTGTGGTAGTGAATTCCGAAATATTCTGAAAGTATCCAGTCAGCATTTGCAGTAGTAGAAATGCTGTGAATTTTTCTAACGAGAAAGTGGCTGCGGCGCAACAGAGTGCGATCAGAAAACGTGGCACAGAAACTAGGTATAATCGTTTCTCGCTCCAAAATCGTGATGTAGACAAAATCCGATGCTCTTTTCATTATTCGTGCTACTTTTTGTTGGAATCTGGAATTTCGAATCATAGTTTGAGTCCAATTCAGCAAGCGCACCTGAAAAGCCTCCTTTTCGAGGGTTTTTGTAATTTGCGTGTGGTATAATATTATCTATCTTCCTTATTTGGCCAAAAAGAGTCACTAATCTATAATTCATTTACAATGGGTATAGAATATTGGAGAAGGGGTCATGCACTACACAACAGCTTAATTTGAACTTATCAATGCTGGTGGTACCGTTACGGTCCAAAATAGCGCTTTTATGCTTTCGGCGCATCGCTATCTTGCGCGCTGTTATCACTCGTTCAGACGGACAGAAGGGAACATTTTCAAATCAAACTTATCCTTATCTGATTTCAAGGATCTCGCCTACTTGTGGGAATCAAAAAACTACAGATTTACTTTATGTTTGGGGTATTTCAGTTGCCAAGTTGGAGGGACAGTACTTTTTCCGCACCCCATATTCAAAATCTGCTTGAGACGCCGAGTCCAAACTCGCTGCCTAGTTGTGAAACGCTGTTCTGAAGATTACGATGTTTTTCCTGCGCGCAACTGCTATAATATTGGAAAGGGAACGACGGCTTGTAAGTACGAAACCGCTCCAAGGTGCTGGGAGTACGAAATAACATCAAACCGACTGTTTTGGTGCTAATATGGAGCAACAGTGAACCATCATCTGAATATTGATAGTGTATTGGTAAAGCTTGCAAAAAAGCTTGCAACTTTTTGTAGAGCAAAAAGGCTATAGATCTGGTCATTGTCAGAATAGTGCTTCGCAGGTAGGGATAACAGATTTGGGCTCGGCATTCCAAGCATGAAGATGTGCGTTTTTTCAAAAAGCCAGAAGGTGCCTTCCCTTGAGAGATGCACAATACTGGGCCCATAGTAAAACAATGTCCTCTTTCTGATGAGCAATAAAAAACATTGGCGAGAAACGGTTGAATGGTATAGCGCCAAGCATGTTGTAGCACACCAATGTTGCTAAGCGAAAAAAGCTACAACTTCGAGCCCTCAAAATAAAGTTTTACGTACAATCAAAATAATCTTAGTGCCAATGTTTTTTACCCTAGAATAAGCAGGCGTGTTATAAGTGACGGCAGCGCTTCAAAGCTTCCGGTTACAGGATTTTTTTTTTGGGAAACCATAATTGCTAATTTTTGAAGATCTTATTGTAAAGGTTGGGACAACGTACGAAGGTTTACCACGTACGCGTAACATCTGCCAATGCTTTCAAGGCATACTAATATGGCCATTGTAAGCAGCCCCGACTCGTATAGCAATCGAACCATTCATATCACTGAAACGGAGCAAGGGGCAGTAATCGAACTCTGCCATTTTGGGCCACCTCCGGCAGCTACACCTTTGGCGATGCTGTTGCATGTCGTTTACACGCTAATAGGGGTGTATGCCAAGATGTACGGTAGCTGCAAATAAGCACTGTACTCATGCTATGGCGAAAATATATTGATGGATTGAGAGTGGCGTGAAAAGGTAAAAATTAGAGCCTCTTGAGCTTCTACTTTTTTTCAGATTTCTAATACCAATATAACTGTTGTGTTAGTGTTCGTATGTGATCAGCTGTTTTCCTCATAGTGATCTGCCCTCGCGCATTCGATCTTAGCCTCAGAGTGCGCGGGAAATGAGCGCTATAAAAGGCGCTCACTCATAGTCTTAGTCAGTTCAGTTCAGTTCTACAGTTCTGTTCACTTCCCTTCATTCGCCTCATATTATTGTTCTCTATTATTTCTTCTAATAAATATTGCTGCTTTTCTCGTGTGCTGCCTCAGGACGAAAAGTCGAAGTGTCCGCCGTGGAGGACATAACAATAATAAATGCGGAATTTGAAAAAATTATCTACGCGACGGATCATCCAGGTTCGGCTGTCTCTTAACCTTGGCATGGTGGAACTCGTAATGGAATTGGCTGAGCGAACTTCCAAGGTTGAAAACACTTCTTTATTCGCTAACGTTTTGGCGCTTTCGCCTTCTTCAGAGCCTGCAAGCCGAAAGTATACGAACTTACTCGCCCAGACGTCAACAATAGATAAAGTATCATTCAAGAACAAAGCCAATGCTAAACAAAACCATATTTACAAGCACAGTACTCACCTTAGATAGCACAAGACGGAAGTCCGAAGACCACCACTATATACAAGACTCACAGCTCTTTTATACGTGCCTTGATGACCCAGTCTCATATTCGAATCCGCATAGCTGACAAGGCGCGAATTCTCTCTTTATGGCGGTAGACTCCTCCTTCCGGTTCATTTTTGGATTTTTGGCGCTAATCCAAAACGCTTCTAATGTTTTGCGTGTGAGGATCTCGGGTTCTAACGACAAGATCTTTACAGTAACTTGTATAGGAGCTCCACCATGGCGCGTTATGTGATGTTCCCCTAGTGGCGTAGCTGCTTTGAGCTTATTCAAATCATCTAAATGCTCCTTAACGCGACAGCAAAGCAAGCGCGTCCTGTTTCGCCAATGTAAGTGTCGCTGCATGATAAGCATGTAATGAGGTTAGATAACCCCGGCTAGCATACAGTCCCCACATCTACCATACGGGCAAACCATGCCATTTGGAGTAGTACATATGCAGTACTACTTTGGTAATCATTTTTATGTCTAAGATAAAAGCGCGGTGCTGCAGCGAAAGCCCCTGCTTTACGGTCGTTATATTATAGACGACGCCGAAGTAGATACTTGCTTCCAAATATTAAACAAGCAGTCAACAAACATCGTTTTCACTAGGGAGAAGCCTACTGGGGGGTGACTGGCGTTTCTGAATGTGCAGATCCATCTAGCAGGCGGATGTTACAAAACAAGCGGTATCGCAAACCCAGCACTAAGAACACCTTGGTACATTCTTTCTCTGCACATCCAAATAGCAACATACGGTCTATTGTGGGCAATATGTACAAAACAGCTGTGCTGGTATGCTCCGGCAGCGACGAACGATCGTACTCCATCGCCTTGAGCCACAGGATTGCTGCCTCGAATGGCTATGCCACACATGAGCACGGCCGTGGAGCACGCGGGTTCTCTCGGAGCAGAGCCCATGGTATGAGCACTGATAACGAGATCCCTTCTGCCTGCCATTCATTTCTCATGAGTTGAGCAGGGCAGTGAGGCGAGGCGTACAGCAGGCGGGTTTGCACGGCGTGGTAAAAGTGGTCGATATTCCTCCCGCTAATCTCAAACGCCAATTGGTTCGTAATCGAGCTTGTGACCGCATATGTACTACTCCAAACGGCATGGTTTGCCCGTATGGTAGATGTGGGGACTGTATGCTAGCCGGGGTTATCTACCTCATTACATGCTTATCATGCGACGACACTTACATTGGCGAAACAGGACGTCCGCTTGCTTTGCTGTCGCGTTAAGGAGCATTTAGATGGTTTGAATAAGCTCAAAGCAGCTACGACACTAGGGGAACGTCACATAACGCGCCATGGTGGGGCTCCTATACAAGTTACTGTAAAGATCTTGTCGTTAGAACCCGAGATCCTCACACGCAAAACATTAGAAGCGTTTTGGATTAGCGCCAAAAATCCAAAAATGAACCGGAAGGAGGAGTCTACCGCCATCGCGCCTTATCAGTCCCTATGCGGATTCGAATATGAGGCCGGGTCATCAAGGCACGTATAAAAGAGCTGAGGTTGAGTCTTGTGTATAGTGGTGGTCCTCGGACTTCCGTCTTGTGTTATCTAAGGTGAGTACTGTGCTTGTAAATATGGTTTTGTTTAGCATTGGCTTTGTTCTTGAATGATACTTTATCTATTGTTGACGTCTGGGCGAGTAAGTTCATATACTTTCGGCTTGCAGGCTCTAAAGAAGGCGAAAGCGCCGAAACGTTAGCGAGTAAAGAAGTGTTATGAACCTTGGAAGTTCGCTCAGCCAATTCCATTACGAGTATCTACCTATGCGACGCTTATGGCCTCGGGACTAGTCCGCGGAGGCGGCCCACAATGGCGGTTTTGCTCCCCCCCCCCCCGCCAAAGCAAGCGTGGCAGCATACCGAGCGCACCTGGTGTACTTCGTAAAGTCTAGCCCAATTTTAAGACAACCAATATCTTAGATCAGATTACCAGACCGTAATCAAAATCCCACTAGTAACGCTGATGACTCAATACGAACAAAATTTATGCCCTTTTCAAAATAAGAAATCGATGCAAAATAGAGTAATCGTCCCCTTCATTTTTTACAAGAAACTAGTCATTACCTTGATGATGCACTTGTAGTCATCGGAAGCTACGGTGACTTACTCAACATTTGATCCTCGTTCGGTTACCGGAGAGCACATATGGAACTGCTTGAAAGAATCTGGTTCGTTGTCTGGAGGTTTGCACCGCAAAATTTAGGAATAGAAAAAATCTCTATTTATCCATATGCAGAGCTTTGGAAGAGCGATGAGCTTGGAATCGCTGTATGTTCTCGTTTCCACCTCAACAGCGGAGCATCTACCACCTGTACTTTTTGTCTAGCATGGCTCATGCCTCAAGTGACATTTGGCTCAAGATCTAGATGTTATAGAAGGTCTGGGTAAGCATCTATGAGCATTATAAGCAAAAGGTCGAGATGTGTAGGTTTTACTCCCGATACTTGGGTGACGGTGAAGAAGCCGTCGAAAAACTGGTAACAAAAGCGCTCAAAGACGGTGAATCTTGGCGAGCAGAAATTGAGAAGTGGCAGAACCCCATAATCAGTGACGAATCACTCCCAGAGTGGTAATTTGCTCCTTTCTAATTTGATAACAAAATCATAACTTCTTGCAGGTATAAATCTGCTATATTCAACGAGCTCTACTATGTTGTTGATGGTTCAGCTATGTGGTTTGAGTATGACCCATCGTGGAAGAGGCGTGAAGGGATCAGTCCAGTGACAGAAAAGCAACTTCAGCGATTTGGACGATTCGGCTACATGGAATGTAAGTACAACCGCGGATTAGTCAGATTAGTGATCATATTCAGCTTGGGAGTACCTCTTGGTTAACACATACGACGTCCACTTTTACGCTAGCTGGTCTCTTACGAAAAACTGGCCAAATCTAGAGTTGTCTATCCAACTTGATTTTTGTAAGTTATGCTAGAAAAAACAGAAGTTGTTCCATAAAAGTCTTCTCTAACACATTATCAGAGCCTTTCTACTCGTTTTTAGCTGGTGAAGTTCAAGCCAATCATCCAAATACTTAAAAAGAGTCACTTTCTTTTTTAGATAAAATTGAGATTTTTCAGGTGATACCTTCAATCGCGTGGACAACGCAACGGTGGAAGCTCTTATGGATGGTAGCACGATGCAGAGGAAGACAGCGCTTCGCATTCCTCACGATCTTGGAACGCCACGTTCGTAAAACTCACTGCACTGTACATTTTAGGAAACCATGAAACGTCCTCAGTTGGGCGTGCCTTGCCGCTTAATGCGGACTGCTCTCAAAAAAGAAAATTAGAAAGTGAGCGTAAATTTCCGTATCGTCGATTTAGTGACAGCACGGACTGCACATCACGCGGAACAGCGCCGCAACTAAAATGCTTGCCCCACTACAGATTCGCCATTGTAAAAGTCGTGCTCTTGCAAGATTTCAGCCGCGCCTCGCGTGGTCCGCAACGTTTGAGCAGTCCGCGCAGCCAATGAATCGCGGTACGTGTCGATACCTGATCGCAGAGATCACTATAATGCCACATCCTCCGTCAGATCTATCCTAGTGGGTGCAAATAGATTTGATTGAGTTAAACTTTGAATTACACAAAAGCATGGAGAACATTTAACGAGAAGGAAAACGCAGAAAAAGTTGCTTCTCGCCCTACTCGACCGCTTGCGCTAGCTAGATAGGTGAAGATGGGACGTTTTCGGTCCCATAGATTTCGTCTATCTGTCTGTCGCAGCCATCGCTTACTCCTCGCAACTGAGACAACTACCAGAGTGTTCCAGATCAGATACTGCTGAGTGCTCAGCTGCTCGATGCAGGCCCAGCCCATATAGAGAAATGGTAAAGAAACAGAACAGACGATTTGCGATTCGCTGATGTTATGCTCTTTTACACCTTTTCGGGTGGGGAGTGGGGAGGGAGGAACCGTTACGATCCATAGGGTCCGATGTTGGAGGGAACAACGTGGCGTTACCGTGACCAAGGGTAATAAGCACCAATGCTCGTGGCACAACTGCCCCTATTAAGAGCTTCCACAAATCATGTGGTGTATCACTGGGTGATTACCAACGATGATCTTGTAACGATGTATCACTATCTTCTATGTGAAACCTCTCCAGGTCGTTGTAGGTTGTCATGAGCTTGTCATGTCACCGTCTTAACTATAGTCGTCCTCACGCCACTAGTCGGTCGGTGGTCGAATTCAAATTCGAAATGGAGCAGGCCGGCCGCGGCAAAACACGGCAGACGCCGCCTTATTTTCTTCGTGTTTCTTTGCTATCTCTCGTATTGCGGCAATGTTCTTGATCAGATTTTTGGATTTTGCGCCGCTAACTATTGTTTTGTGCAGTTATGCTCGTTTGTTTTACATTTTTTTTTCACGTAAACCGGGAAAAAGGATGCGATTGCAGTTTTTGAATGAAAAATCTCTTTTCCGGTAACTGACATACACACAAATGATTTGATGAACTTTGTCAAGTTTTTCTTCAAAATGCGTACTCTAAACTATTTTTTTGCGATAGAGCTGAAATCCTCTGCAACAAATGTTTGTTTCAAAGAGTTAGCGGTACGAATTCTGAAAAGCTGTTGAGAACATTGCCGCAATACGAGAGATAGCAAAGAAACACTAAGAACGGTTAGCTGAGGGGCATCTGCCGCGCTCTGCCGCGGTCGGCTTGCTCCACTTTGAATTCAAATTTGACCACCAACCGACTAGTGGGGTGAGGACAACTACAGATGGAGATAGGCGATGAAGTCGGTCAAGGTCGGGACTAATCCACATTTCAAAAACTCGTATAAGTCCGCGTTTTGGTAGTCATTCGAAAGAGTCGATGTTCATAGCAAACCGTGTTGAAGTCCTTTACTGTGTTTCGTTGCTTCATGCGGCTGAATGCGTCCAATGCGGGCGGCGTGCGCTACAAACGCAGAACATCATCATTTTCCGCAGATCATCATCATTGTCCGCTGTTTATCATCATTGTCCGCTGATTATCATCATCGCCCGCAGATGATTTATTGTCCGTAAGTTTTGTTTTCGCCAGCCTCCATCATTCTTCGAATTCTCCTCACGCTGCCTCAAATAGATCTTCCAAAATTGAGGAGCTTTCAATTCTATTATCAACGATTTAACTACGCGCAGGAAATGGCTTATTGAGCCCACCCTCCCGCGAAAGAAGTACTGTGCTTTTTGGTCAGAGGTGACTCCGAATCCGCGTTCTCCATATTCTGCTCGTTTTTTCGGACGCAAGCATTTGGTAAAAGCAGGGGTTCCGTCCTTCTGCTTATTTTCAAGTAGGTGCGCAGTTGCCTTAGGTCTCCGATTTGCCCCCGATCCACCAAAGGAGACGCACCACGTGACCCAGCGACTACTTACCTGCTGGGATCCCTCTTCAAAGAAAATGCTTGAATTCTACAATTAGACGATGTTTTGAACGATGTGCACAAAAGGGACAAAAACAGCAATCCCCTAATAAACATACTCAATAGTCCATTAAGGCCAGGAAAGTTCTTGACATGACATGACAATTCTTTGCATAGTAATAACGCACAATTTCCTAGCATGAGCCTGCAGAACCTTTGAATGAAGAAGTGTCAGTAAAAAAGAAATCGACCTTCATTATTGTTTGTGAACCCTGGATTGCAGAAGAGGAACCGTGGGCAGAGATCAACCAATACATCGTACATGACTCAGCAAATTGGCGTGACCTCAATATGAAGTTTGTCATTCTATGCTGGAGAGATTACAAGCTCATTGTTGAAAAATGCTACGATCGAGAAAATGTAAACAGCGAAGTTTAACGACATTCAGCTTCAATAGTCCATTAAGGCCAGGAAAGTTCTTGACTACTTCTACAAGCTGAGCGAAGTGATCATTCGCAACGCTCTAAAAGAATGGGATCCCAACCACGATGGGATGATTGAAAATTCAGGAACTCCTGATCAGACTTACGACGCTTGGACCATGAAAGGAACGAGGTCAGCTTAGGTTATTCATTGAAGTCCACATGAAAAGCCGTTTGACTATGCAGTGCTTACTGTGGCTCGCTTTGGCTTGCTGCAGTATACTCAACAATATGTATGGCGGATGAACTCGGGAAGAAAAGCACAATGCATAGACTTAAGTACCTCGAAGAAACCCTCGAAAAAGCAAAAGTAGCGTACGTGATCAAGCTATGGAATGGCAGGTAAGTTTAGAGAGAATTCTGATACCATCAAAGTAAAGCTACACTAAACACTCAGTCGGCGATGTCTATCCAAAGTAACCAATACAGACAATATGTTATCCAATTAGCATTACAGCAAATATATCCGCAAACCATGGCAAGCAGTCCAAAAAAAGAGAATGTATTTCAGATTCTTCAACTTTGATGAATCCCCAGCTAATCAGGGCCTGATAATGGCTGATCAAATTGGTGGGATATGGTGTCTTACGATGCTGCAAGAAAATGAAGTCATTCGTGAAGAAAATGTAGGACCGATCATTACTTCTTTGAGAAAGTTCTCCCACGCTTGTGAAAACATTCAATCCGAACATTCTGCCTTGATGTTCGGATGGATTTGTGATGTGCTTCAGAAAGCGCGTAGTGCCAGCCTTTATGCACTTCTGCCCTGTATTTTATGGCTTCACGTGAGTCACGACGCGCCGCTTTGACACAAGTCGAGCTTAAATTTTGCCCCCACAACCAGGGGTGAGGAGGCCTATACATGACTCGTGCCGTAAGTGACACTGCGCAAGGGTACTGGCTCTTTAAGACTGACATCGCATGCGACATCGCTTTGCGGAATGTTCGCGCCCGTGACTCCTGACAGTCCCCGTATCTCATGTTACGTATAAAAATATTACAGTCATTCATTACATATCGTCGTCTCCCCGCGATAGATGGGGCATGTCGTCTGCAAATTCCGTAGATGTGCGTGTTTCGTACGGTGCTAGCCGGCGTGGCTTTGCCAACGTTGCCAACGTATGCGCGTGGCAGTTTTTGGCGGTTAGATAGTACGAAAAATAATGTTATATGATGAAGATTTAACAAGTATTTAGACGTGGCATGTATTTACATGCCACGCCATGGCTAATACCGTACGAAATACGCACGTCTACGGACTTTGCAGACGACACGCCCCATCTATCACGGGGAGACGACGATAGGTTATGGCGTACATATTTCAGAGAGGAACTACAAAGTACTATTGGTCAAAATGACCATTTGGAATGAGTTGAACGTAGCTAAGATAGTAACGACCATATTTGCTTCGAAAGAAGGCATGACATCACGAATTCGTTATCTGGCGAGTAAATGGGAGTCACAAATAAAGCGCAAAAACCTTACATATGGAAGGAACATTCTTTCTATAGGCGAGCACACTCCCTCTGCGCCTTCTATTACAAATAAAAGGAATGCTCTAGTGTTTATACTCCAACAACAACACAATGGGAGTCACAGCTAAAGCGCAAAAACGCTACATATGACAGGAAGCAAAGCATTCCTTCTTATAGACGGACACCCTCTCTCTGCTCCTTCTGACCCAATTCAAAGAAATGCTCTCGTGTTTATACTCCAATAACAGCGTTCAAAGTTTTAACAAGCGCCCCGCAGACATAAATTACAGTTTTGTGAATAGCATTCATTAGCGACCACAGCAATATGCATATTAACTCAATTGGCCATTCGACTAAAGGTACCCTATTTTTAGGTGAACACGGCTTATCAAATGCAGTGTCGGGTGTCGCAGACTCTCCGCCTCCCGCACAGCCGCCTCGCCTAGACTCTGCGCCTTTCGCGAACATTCTATTTGGTCACTTTCCCACCGCGAGCGTGGGAAAGGCAGAGCATCAACCGATTGCAAATGACTGAGGAGTATGTTCGAAGAGGTGAAAGTCCCGCCCAGGAGCGAGATGCTGGTGCACCCGACAATGGAATTGATAAGCCCTGTACAATTCGTACGCCCTCTGCTTGGGCATGTTGCGCATGTGCCGTGCACAGCGTCGCTCACACACAAATTTTCCGTTGATGTGCCCTCTCTTCTCCCCAAAAAGGGTGATATACGTACATCTTTGGCGTTTTTTTCTTTGAACAATCTGCGTGCGGGTTGTATGCCTGGAAACGGGTACTTTTTTACAAGCAAAATGAGCTTACAGCGATTCAAGAAGTTTCGAGTAATTCATGCTCGCGAACCTTCTTTTCAACCCTTTGAAAATAAACTGTAGTTCACTCTTGTTCTTTTTTTTTTGAGAGAGCCAAGAAGTTAATATAAGATTAACCTAATCAGAACTGTGTTGATAAGGCAATTCCCTTTCAATTTAAATGTCAAAAAAAATTTTGAGTTGCTGCTGATGAATGAGGTGATTCATCATGATAGTCTTAAGACGTTAATTGCAAATCGCTGAGCAACCTATAAGCAGAAGGGCTTTTAATTGTTTTCGATGAATCTTTTCTCTAAATATACATTACTCAGTTTTGATGCAAATGCCATGGTTAGAAATTATATGGCGATGACCTTCAGATTATATCAGCTTTGAAATTTATATATAAGCATAATGTGAAGAAATTTGCTCGCGGAAGTCTGGGGCCTGTAAATGGAATTTAGTGAGTGCTTCTGCAAGTGTACAATAATTCATAGTGACACCTATTCACTTCAGTGAAGACGGAACTGTGGACATAAGAGGAATACAAAGCGAAGAAGTTTGGACAGGAACAGCGTACGCATTAGCAGCATTTATGATTGCAAAGGTAAAGCTAAAGTTGCATACAATTTACTGACTGACCTGCTAACATAAGCAGTTTAAACCCGACAATGCAGGACACTTGGTTTGATTTTTTCGATTTGAACAAGACCACAGCATTTGCTAGGACTAATGTTGCACATATCAAGCTAATTTTCATGCTCTAAAATTAAGAACTTTGATGAACAGCCATGGAAAAATCTTCGCAAAAAAAAATTGAGAATTTCAAGAAAGAATCCTCTCCTAAAATCCTCCTACATCTAAGCGCAAGAGTTTAGAGATTTGAAATCGCAGATTTTTTCAATGTTTTTTGGATCACTTTCTCTTCCAGTGTTCAAGTTTATGTCTTTTGCAAGTATGGGCGACAGCCTCTTTGCCTCCGCCTTCACATATGCGCCCTCACCACAACCTGCGCGTGAAACATTCCGCTTCGCTTTTTACTCAAGTAGAAATGATAAGAAGAAGGAAGTTTGAGAAGTCCATTGCGTTAGTTTGACTAAAGTGTCCACCAAAAAATTTAATAATTTTCAGGGACTGCGAAGAGAAGGCTTTGACACAGCAAGAGGAGTTTTCGAAACCTGTTGGTATCGACTGGGTCTGCAATACCAGACACCTGAGGCTATTTATGAGAAGAAATACTACCGCGCAATTGGTTACATGCGCCCACTGGCTATAGGGGCAATTCAGCATGCTTTAGAAATGCCGACTACTAAAAGGAAAACCTAAAAAATTATACTAGATTAATAAAAATTTGTGATCTTGTTATCGGGATGATGTGAAATCGCACCGGAGCAAGCATGTTTATGACGTAGGTGGAGAGTGTAGGGGGCTGCATATTCTCAGTCACTTCTCTGACTTTCTCAATTGTATTCTCCCCACTTAGTGGCGGAGCACTGCAGAATTAACCTATATATGAGAATTCAACGTGTATATATGTGTGTGGATCGTGTTGTAAGTCCTCTTGTCTTTGAACCTTGGCATGTTCTTGCAGGTGAATAATTTTAATTATTATATTATGCCGTACAGGTTGTTATAGATGATATACTTTATTGCCCGACGTTTCGGCAAGACGCCGTCTTCAGGGGCTGAAAAGGCGTCAATCACATTGATACACGATCTCTGCCGCCAAATATCTCCACCGACTTGCCACTCGATTCGTCTTGAGTGGAAGCAGGGAGTTTGGGGGCGATGGTCACCCACCAAGTATATCACCGATGTTGTAGCTAACAGCCGCTCCGGATGTGCTTGGTCGAGTGCGGTGTCAAATGAGTACCCAAGCTACTGTGGGGCTGCTTAAGTAGGGCACACAATCTTATAGTTTACAGTACGACAGATACGGCATCAAGTCACTAGTTATAGATAATTTCTCATTCTTGCTACTTAGTTTGGGCTCGCGAGCAAGAATATAGGAGCCTTCCAAGGCTTTTCGTGCAGAAATTTGGTGTTCATGGGCCAAGATTTTGCACCTGACATCGTAATCAACACCGTTATGTTCGATCATTCTATGCTTTCCCAGTGGGCTAATCAAGCTTTGCCTCTTTTTGCTAGCTAGATGTTCGTTGATGCGCACACCCAGTGGCCGGCCAGTTTCACCGATATATATGGCAGAGCATTTCGCACATTCGATTTGATACACGACACCAGATTTCGCACAATCTCCGAATTGTCCGTATGGGCACACAACGCAATCTCTTGTGATACAAGTTTTATCGTACAATCTATTGCGTATTAACAGCTTTCTAATGTTGTTTCGCGGGATATTAACTAAGACGACATCTTTCTCAAGCTGCGCTTGTATCAGACACTGTTTGACTGCGGCAGTGACCTTTTCGGAGATAAAAGGCAAGCACAACGGTACTCTATTGGTAGTTTGTTCGCTTGTCTTTACAGTTTTTCTCTTTGAACATCTGGGTCGCATAACATATCCATTCGAGGCTATTATTTCGGCTGCCAGCTTCAGTGACTCCTGCCTTTCCTCTTTACCGCTGCAGATTTTCGTCGCCGTTTTTATCATATTACGTACGACGGCTCGTTTGACAGCTTCTGGGTGCGCGGATTTTGCGTGCAAGATTATGTTCTTATTACTGTCTTTACGAAACCATTTTATGTGCACTGCTCCATTCCTCAACATCAGCTGTGTGTTCAAAAACGGTAGCCAATCGTCGCGCGGTTCTTCTCTCGTGAAGCTTATGTATCTCGACTGTTGATTCAATATTCGATAACATTCGTCCATTTCGGACTTTGTCGACGTGACTACGCAATGTGTGTGGATCTATGTTGCGAATACAAATTTTTTAAATGCGCCTGTAAGGCTGAAATTCTCTCATCCATGAATGAGTTACGTGGCTACCAAAGGCGCTACTTTTCGCAAAACTTTACTGTGTTTTTCTACGGATTTACTGATCTGTTTACATAATTCTAGAAATATGAAAGCTTATCAATCAATGTTTCCCTTAATCATGTGAACAGGGACGATAAAGCTCATTTTTTGCAGTCAGCAGCATGCATGCCTTCGAGTGAATCCTGGAACCAGTCTATTCTTATAAAAGTACTCCAGTAGGCTGTACGCGGTGCAGGGAGTAAGGAAGCAGTAAGTAATCGGAGAGAGAGGTAGAGCGGTAGCCGGTGGGAAGGTAAGGTAAGACAGACATTCCCCGCGTATGTGAATTACCGCTTGACGGTCCGAGTGTAGTCGTCCTCACCCCACTACTCAGACAATCGCTGGGGGCAGGCGGGCACCGGAAAAATAGATTGCTGATTTCTCGCACCCCGCTCGCGGATTTTTTGGAAAGCAATTAGTGGCCAGTATTCATCAAAGAACCCTGAGGGTTAAATTTACCCCCAGGGTTAGTTTAACCCTCAGGGTTCATTGGCCGTATTCATCAACCATAGGGTAGGGTCTGCCACGGAACGCAATCCACCCGTATCGATCAACGAACCTGTGGCCGTGTTCATCAACGAACCCTATGGTTGATTAATACGGTCAATGAACTCTAAGGGTTAAACTAACCCTGGGGGTAAAGGCGTCAGTTACGCGTGCGCTGTGCAAACTCACATCACAGAATGCCTAAGTACGTGCTAAAATCACTTTATAATTCTATTCTTTCACTGTTATAATAGTATCAGTGCGCCACCTCTGCTTCGCAGAGGCTCGCAATGGTCTCACTATCTGTATGCTTTACTCATTCCCACACTAATAACATTGATACTCACCGCGCTATGCAGACTATCATGAATGATTCGTAAACAACTACTCATTTCTAAGACTTTTTCATGTGAGATCGGTAATTTCCCGTGAATGAAACACTTTTCCCAGAAGAACAAATGCACATTTAAATCGGTTTTTGGACTTTTCATGGCTTCGTAGTCGCCTGGAGGACAGTGATCACCGTGGGCCACATCACTGTGCAAAAATTTCCACAAATGATCAGGTAAACTCTTGGCAATTTGAAGTTTACGCAATCAATTCTTTTTGGCGCCACCTTCGTAAAGTAATAAACTTTTATTCACTTTTCTGTGCTAAAGTCCATGGTTTGCACATTAGCTTATTAAACGTACTCATGATTTTGCAAAAAGTGCTGCTACAGCATAGTTTTCCTGGCCAGAAGTTAAGTGGATCCGTCTGAAACGCAATTTTTGAAGGATCCATTCAATGGATCCGCTCGTGCTTTTGCATAGTGGGCTTTGATGCTGGTAGCATACGCCGTGCAAAATTTGGGCTCGGGACATTGGCTGGAACCAGGGTTGAGCAAGAGGTCAGGCACAAGTCTTTCCAAAACGACCCCCCCCCAGTGAAAGCCCCTAAACGACCCCTCTGCTTCACCTCCAGGACCTCAGGCTGTGATAATTCGAAGAGATCAGCCGTTTTTGGGAGGTTCTTGTTTTTTGGAGGTCTGTAGGTCGACTTTCTGCGATTGCACAGCACACGCAACTTGACGGCAAGTTTTGGATTTTGGATAGCCCTACTTTTAGAGCTATAATTCCCACAGGGGTGTATTGTTTGGCTCCAAATTTGCAGTATTGCAAGAAGAGGCTTTGAGTTCAATACTCATAGCAGAAATGGAGCGATTTTTAGATTTTGAAAACAAGTTAATCGGGTCAGGCGCAACCCCTCAAAAGCTCAGGCGGCCTGACCTTTTGTGGGGTTGCGCCTGACCCGATTAACTTTATCATTGAAGAAGCTTTTTTATTCAAGTTTTATGTGAATCGCTAGCACAACCCTCGAAGATTTCACAGTAAGTGTTTGAACTTGATTCGACTTGTTTCGGCCTTGTGGTAATCCGTGGAGTTGAAGCAGTCATGGCGAAAAACGCGCCGGTCGGAATTTTGGCATTATTTCTTACTCCACTATTTGCAAGCGATACAAAGCGCGATTTTTAGCCTAGACTAGTAGGGAAGAATACTTTGTTGCGAGTACAAAAGAATTGACTTTTCTCACTTTTGAAAACAAGTTAATCATGTTTGAAAATCACGCTTTTTAGTCGTTGAGAAACACTAGATAATGCAGTAAATAATGGTTTGTAGGGCTCATAGAGGTGATTTGACGTACTCGAAACCCATTTCACACAGCAAGCTTCCTTGATGAATTTATAATATGTCAAGGTAGAAGATGAAGATTTGAGTTTTGGCCGAAACTTCGATTGTGGAATCAATCAGTATGCTGTTTAAGACCGTTCATTCCTTCAGTACTGGTGAGGTCGCGATATCCACTAAACTAGCGCTTTTCTTCTTCACCTTAATCGTAGTATCTCCTCAATCGAACGAATTCGATTCCTAACCACGACCCCCCCCCCTCTGTCTTACCCCAGTACGACCCCCCAGGTCGGGCGCGCCTGACCCCACGCTCAACCCTGGCTGGAACACGCCCTACGAATTTCGTAACGGACAGACACACACACATACACACAGACAAAAAGACGTAAACAACCCTTAGCCCGTTATTATAAGTCATGATAATCGACGAATAAGCTTCGGGTGGAGGACTATATGTCGCCGAAAAAGGGCGGTCCCCGCGGTCATTTGCGACAAATACGCACCTTTGTACATGCGCGGACATGCGTTCCTGCAGGGAATCCGCGCGGGACTCTTCCAAATTCGGCGACATATAGTCCTCCACCCATAAGCTTCTAACACTAGTTTTTATAATACATCTCCAACATATTTGTGCAGCATCCAATCTTAAGCGTGAGTTTATTTTCATGTGTGCAATTGTGCCGTGTAAGTTCTACTTTTGCGCAGTTCGTTTTATGCCGGGCCTGTGCTACTCTTTTAGGGGTCAATGCGTGTTATCATAAAGTGGTTCTTCTGTTTTGGCACTTGTCAGAGTGGAATGCGCAGACATTTTTCCTTGTCGCATTCATTTGTCACCAAAGCTAGAATTCTTTTTCTCGCGAACTCAGTGTTTCATGTACTTCTAATTTGAACATAAAACAAAGTCGAAACTAAATACTATAACAACAATTTAATATACTGAATACTACAATACTCGTTGATCGTTTTTCATAAAACTATTAGATGCGAAATGTTTGTATGAAGTGTCGGGTAGAGTTAACCTTGCTCTAAGCTAGGGTTAAATTAACCCTGATGAATTACGTAAGTTTTGCCCTCCAGGGTTAGTTTAACCCTCAGGATTCATTGATGAATACGGGTTAATCGCTTTCGGGGTATGGTTTACCCTCAAGGGTAGATTTGACCCTCAGGGTTAAGCCTACCTTGTGTTTCATGAATACGGGTTAATCGCTTTCCAGGGTTAAACTAACCCTCCAGGGTTAGTTTAACCCTCAGGGTTCGTTGATGAATACGGCCACAGGACCAGAGGTGCGATAGGGGGAGCCGGGCTCTCCCCAGGTGAAGGGGGTCTCGGCTGTTTCCG